TGTTTATTTTCACCTTCGCCTGACCATGAAGTTTTGAAAATTATAGTAAGACTTTCAGTTGATATTTTTGACGGTGTAACCCTATTTTAACAATATTTGGGCCTCACTACTATATTTTTCACTTATTTTCATAGCTTTTAGCTTTAATATTATACTAAATATACATTTATTCTTCAATAAACCGTAAAACCACTTCCAAATGCATTGTAAAGTTTTCCCTAATGCTCACGAAAATTATTTCTCAAAAATAAAAAATTTGCATTTTCCCAAAAAATGTGGGTTAAACTAACATTCACGGTTTTTAGATGGTTTTGCAAATTCATACATAAATTATCGTTCATATTATTTATTTTCACCTTCACCTCACCGTGAAGTTTTGAAAATTTAAGTAAGAGTTTCCGTTGATATTCTTGACGGTGTAACCCCATTTTTACAATGTTTTGGGCGTCACCATGATATTTTCACTTACTTTTTTAGTTTTCGGCTTAAATATTCTACTAAATATACATTTGTTACTCAATAAATCATACAACCACTTCCAAATGCCTTATAAATTTTTTCTTAATGGTTAGGGAAATTATTTCAAGAAAATAAAAAATTTGAATTTTTCACAGAAAATGTGGGTTAACACTCATGGGTTTTAGTAGGTTTTGCAAATTCCTACATAAATCATTCGTTCAAATTGTTTATTTTCACCTTCGCCTGACCGTGAAGTTTTGAAAATTATAATAAGACTTTCCGTTGATATTTTTGACGGTGTAACCCTATTTTAACAATATTTTGGGTCTCACTACTATATTTTTCACTTATTTTCGTAGCTTTTATCTTTAATATTATACTAAATATACATTTATACTTCAATAAACCGTAAAACCACTTCCAAATGCGTTGTAAAGTTTTCCCTAATGCTCACGAAAATGATTTCGCAAAAATAAAAAATTTGCATTTATCCCAAAAAATGTGGGTTAACATTCACAGTTTTTAGTTGGTTTTGCAAATTCGTACATAAATTATCGTTCAAATTATTTATTTTCACCTTCGCCTCACCGTGAAGTTTTGAAAATTTAAGTAAGAGTTTCTGTTGATATTCTTGATGGTGTAACCCCATTTTTACAATGTTTTGGGCCTCACCAGGATATTTTCACTTACTTTTTTAGTTTTCGGCTTAAATATTCTACTAAATATACATTTGTTACTCAATAAATCATACAACCGCTTCCAAATGCCTTATAAAGTTTTTCTTAATAGTTAGGGAAATTATTTCACGAAAATAAAAAATTTGCATTTTTCACATAAAACGTGGGTTAACACTCACGGGTTTTAGTAGGTTTTGCAAATTTGTACATAAATCATCGTTCAAATTGTTTATTTTCACCTTCGCCTAACCGTGAAGTTTTGAAAATTATAGTACGACTTTCCGTTGATATTTTTGACGGTGTAACCCCATTTTAACAATATTTTAGGCCTCACTACTATATTTTTTTACTTATTTTCGTAGCTTTTAGCTTTAATATTATACCAAATATACATTTATTCTTCAATAAACCATAAAACCGCTTCCAAATGCATTGTAAAGTTTTCCCTAATGCTCACGAAAATTATTTCCCAAAAATAAAAAATTTGCAGTTTTTACAAAAAAAACATGGGTTAACACTTACGGTTTTTTGTAGGTTTACAGAAATCATCATTCAAATTATTTATTTTCACCTTCTCCTCACTATGAAGTTTTGAAAATTAAAGTAAGACTTTCCGTTGATATTTTTTAGGGTGTAACCCCATTTTAACAATATTTTGGCCCTCACTACTATATTTTTCACTTATTTTCGTAGCTTTCGACTTAAATATTATACTAAGTATACAATTATTCTTCAATAAACTGTAAAACGGCTTCCAAATGTCTTGTAAAGTTTTCCCTACTGCTCACAAAAAATATTTTGCGAAATTAAAAAATTTGCAATTTTCACAAAAACATGGGTTAACACTCACAATTTTTAGTATGTTTTGCAAATTCGTACATAAATCATCATTCAAATTATTTAAATTCACATTCTCTTCGCTGTGAAGTTTTGAAAATTAAAGGAAGACTTTATGTTGATATTTTAGGGTGTAACCCCATTTTAACAATGTTTTGGGCCTCACAACTATATTTTTCACTTATTTTCGTAGATTTCGGCTCAAATAATATACTAAATACACATTTATTCTTCAATAAACCCTAAAACCGCTTCTAAATGCCTTGTAAAGTTTTTCCTAATGCTCACGGAAATTATTTCAAGAAAATAAAAAATTGCATTTTTTTGCAAAAAACGTGGTATACCACTTACGGTTTTTAGTCGGTTTCATCGTTCAAATTATTTATTTTCACATTCACCTCCCCATGAAGTTTTGAAAATTAAAGTAAGAGTTTTTGTTGATATTCTTGAGTGTGTAACCCCATTTTAACAATGTTTTGGGCCTCACTAGGATATTTTTCACCTATTTTTTTAGTTTTCTGCTTAAATATTCTATTAAATATACATTTGTTACTCAATAAATCATACAACTGCTTCCCAATGCCTAATAATGTTTTCCCTTATGGTAAGGAAAATTATTTCTCAAAAATAAAAAATTTGCATTTTTCACAAAAAACGTGGGTTAACAGTCACGGGTTTTAGTAGGTTTTGCAAATTCGTACATATCTCATCGTTAAAATTATTTATTTTCACTTTTGCCTCACCGTGAAGTTTTGAAAATTAAAGTAAGACTTTCCGTTGATATTTTTGAGGGTGTAAGTAACCCCATTTTAACAATGTTTTGGGCCTCACTACTATATTTTTCACTCATTTTCATAGCTTTCGGCTTAAATATTATACCAAATATACATTTATTCTTCAATAAACCATAAAACCGCTTCCAAATGCCTTGTAAAGTTTTCCCTAATGCTCACGGAAATTATTTCATGAAAATAAAAATTTTGCATTTTTCACAAAAAACGTGGGTTATCACTCATGGTTTTTAGTAGGTTTTGCAAATTCGTACATAAATAATCGTTCAAATTATTTATTTTCACCTTCGCCTGACCGTGAAGTTTTGAAAATTAAAGTAAGACTTTCCGTTGATATTTTTGAGGGTGTAACCCCATTTTAACAATGTTTTGGACCTCACTACTATATTTTTCACTTATTTTCGTAGCATTCGGCTTGAATATTATACTAAAAATACATTTATTCTTCAATAAACCATAAAACTGCTTCCAAATGCCTTGTAAAGTTTTCTCTAATGCTCACGAAAATAAAAAATTTGCAATTTTCACAAAAAATGTGGGTTAACACTCACGGTTTTTAGTAGGTTTTGCAAATTCGTACATAAATCATCATTCAAATTATTTAAATTCACCTTCACCTCACCGTGAAGTTTTGAAAATTAAATTACGACTTTTCGTTGATATTTTTTAGGGTGTAACCCCATTTTAACCATTTTGGGCCTCACTACTATATTTTTCACTTATTTTCGTAGCTTTCGGCTTAAATATTATACTAAATATACATTTATTCTTCAATAAACTGTAAAACCGCTTCCAAATGCCTTGTAAAGTTTTTCCTAATGCTCACGGAAAATATTTCACCAAAATAAAAAAATTGCATTTTTCATTAAAAAATATTTCCCTAATTCTTTATTTTCACGTTCGCCTCACCGTGAAGTTTTGAGTATTAAAGTAAGAGTTTCCATTGATATTCTTGTAGGTGTAACCCCATTTTAACATTGTTTTGGGCGTCACTACTATATTTTTTAGCTTTAAGCTTAAATATACATTTGTTGCTCACTAAGTCATAAAACCACTTCCAAATGCTTTATAAAACTTTCCTTAATGGTTAGGGAAATTATTTCGCGAAAATAAAAAAATTTGTATTTTTCACAAAAAACGTGTGTTAACACTCACGATTTTTAGTAGGTTCTGCAAATTCGTAAATAAATCATTGTTCAAATTATTTATTTTCACCTTCGTCTCACCATGAAGTTTTGAAAATTAAAGTAGGACTTTCCGTTGATATTTTTTCAGGTGTAACCCCTTTTTAACAATGTTTTTGGCCTCACTACTATATTTTTCACTTAAGCATTCGGCTTAAATATTATACTAAATATATATTTATTCTTCAATAAACCGAAAACCGCTTCCAAATGGCTTGTAAAGTTTTCCCTATTGCTCATGTAAAATTTTCGCCAAAATAAAAAAGTTGTATTTTTCTCATCACGGTTTATAGTTGGATTTGATTGTACAAAATCTATTTACTTTCACCTTCACCTCACAATGAGGTTTTGAAAAACCATGTAAGACTTACAGTTAATATTCTTGTAGATAGAGTCCCGTTTCGACAATGTTTTAGACCGCACTATAATATTTGTCTATTTATTATTTAATTTTTGATTTAAATATTCTATTAAAAATATATTTGTAGCTCAATAAACCGCTTTCAATTACCTTTTACTATTACCCTTAATCATTATGGAAAATATTTAAGAAAGAAAAATTCTGTTGAAGGAGACAAGTGACCATTGCATTACATGATTCCATAGCCGCTAAAATGATCTCTCTTCCGATTCTTTCGGACATTGACACGTGGAATTACATACTTGCTGCATATATTTTTAGAAACTTTAATAAAAAAACTCCCGATACTGTTCACTTTAACGAAAAACCACATTTGTACTCTAAAAAATCAATCCTGATACTATTCACTTATAACACCTTTTTGTCATTTTCATTAAAACTCAAAATTTTCAAACCATTTTCATTAATTTTCCTTATATTTTTCCTTTCTCAAAGTGCAGTAGTTTTCTCACTTTTTATTACCTTTAAAGAGTTGTTGAAAAATAATTTGATTTGAGCTGTTTATTTACAGGTGATGTTAGCTTTAGTAAGCATATAAATATTGTACTCACTCCATTACAAGAAGGTAGGAGAAATTATACGCATTAATCTGTTTATTTACTAGTGTAGTGTGCGTCTTGGACAGACGGACAACGCAACACGAGCAATTATACCCATTAATCTGTCAAAAAGTAGGCAACGATACTTTTGAAGGGGCAAACTCCAAATCAGACATAATAATATCAGCAAATACTCATCGATTGCACAACCTGGCGATTTTGAATATACATTGGAAATGGTTTACATGTCTGAATGCCAAAGCAAGTCCAGGAGCCCAGGAACTTTGGATGCACAGATGACCAACTCTTCAGCTCGTCGTCAATTTGAATTGACCAGCCCCAAGAATCCTAATAAACCTGCAGAAACACAAAGAATAAACATTTACTTGAGGACTTGCCTTGCCAACTAAGCGGGTAAAACATCAAAATGTACAAGTATAGACCTCAACTATTAGAATGACGAGGTGCCCACTGAAGAGTATCCAGCAGCTCTCATCTCTTTCAGCGTGCTAGCTAACCAATCCAAGCCCTCGTAAAGGCCATCGCCTCGAAGGGCACAAGTCCCTTGTATGTGCCATTTTCTGTTCTTGAGATCAAATAGGCCTAGTCCTTCACACACTTCCATTGGCGACATAGCTCCTTTCTGGATAGGAAACGACAAATAAATAAATCGCAAAAAGTTAACAAGGAACCAGCGTTTCAAAACCATGTGTATGCTGGCTGAATGGCATGAATAAAACTTGCCCACAAGAAATAAGGACATGTGCACTGACGGGATCAGTCAGTAAATTACTTTTGTTATTGTTGGTATGTAGGATGAATTACAAAAGTGAAGTGTTATTGCCTATGAGCCTTGGCTCAAATTGAACGAGTGACATGGAATGAAGGGGTAGGTCTTGGGTTCAGTTCCCCTTGTAACCAAAAGTTTGGCCATCCCTAAAAAGCAATGAAAAGGACTCGACAGTACTTAGAACGGATGTAAATACTGAAAATAGACAGCAATCAGCAGCCCAGTACCGCAACATCTGACATCTAACTATGACCGTTTAGTAAATTGTAATTTTAACACTCTGATTTGAGACCTAATTACTTGAGAGTAACATCCCATGCAGCAAATAACTGTTGAAATAGAATACTGAAAAAAGACAATAATACCCTGTGCCATCCTCTAACTTGGGGATCAGTAACTCACACACCCCTAGAGATTATGTGGGCAATCAACTTGCACATTCTTATGTTGGTTGAAATCATGAACTTTACATTATCATGCAATACACAGATCAGAAACTAATACTACGACATACCATATCCTGTTTATTAGCAAACACCAAGATGACACTGCTGAGCATAAAAGGATCACTGATGATGGCCTGAAAATAATAAAGATAGATAAGTGAGAAACAACTACGCACTTGTATTTAAACTGTATGCATTGCTGAGCATACAACCTGAAATTCCTCCTTCGCTCTTCTAATTCTCTCTCTGTCCAAGGAATCAACAACGTAAATCTGCAGATGGAAAATAAAACATGTTAAGGGTAACTAGAAGCTTCTATTTATTGACCTATTACAAAGCTGAGAAAGGTGAGCTGGGAAGTGAGACAAGTACTAGTAACCTGAAAAGAAAGGGACAACTGACTAGCAATATTCAAGAACCATCAATATCCAGAAGAAAAAGACCAGAGAAAGTTTCAATTACCAGCCCGTCCGTGTTATTAAAGTAATGCCTCCAGAGTGGCCTTAGTTTCTCTTGTCCACCGACATCCCAAACAGTGAACATCACATTCTTATACTGAATTTTCTCCACATTGAAACCTGTTAATACAAAGAAAGAAATGCCTTAACGGAACATCTAAACAACCTGTATCACAATCGTTGACATACATCACATAGACAAGAACTCCCCAACATCAAAACCCCCATGTATCAAGATGCCTGATTCTAGTGATCAGAGACACCCACCTATTGTAGGGACAGTTGACAAAACTTCACCAATGTGCAGCTTGTAAAGGATGGTTGTTTTACCAGCTGCGTCGAGGCCAAGCATTACAACCTATGCCACCGCGGAAATATGAAAAGCGGGTCAGTGTAATGTCAATCGCCAACTAAACATATCATGCTCTTGAATTAGATGGAGGCAATGGAAATCTAACCGGAAGTCGATCATTTAGCATACAACGAATGCACGCTTACAAAAGCCGTTATGCATACACTTTATAGGAATACAAACATGTACAATTAATTGGGCGAATATTATCTAAGCATGGATTATTTAGAGAAATATAAAGCCAAATAATTTCCTAAATGATTAAGTTTAACTAATTAATGACGGCATCAACCCACCGATCGAAGAATTGAACCAGTATAGGTAAAAACAACACACACACACGCACAAAAACCATTACGGTATGAACCCTAGATATCCCTGCACAGATATAATAATCAAAGTACCCAAAAAAAGAGTAGGAAAATAGAACAAAAAAGCTGCAAAATTCTCCCGAAATACAAAAGAACATAGAAAATGAAAAGAGAGAGAGAGAGAGAGAGTACTCGCATCTCAGTGTTGCCGAAGAAGGTGTCGAAGAGCTTCCGAAAAGCTTGACCCATGGCGACGAAACAATACTGGGAGAAAGAGAAAAGGGAAAGCTAGATCTCTCTCTTCGTCTTTCTCTCTCTATCTCTCTCTTCGTCTGTGTGGGTGTTTGTATGAAGTTGACCGGGAGGTCGTCGTCGACTATAGAGAGAGAGAGAAATCAGTAGGGAAGGGTTCGATCGAGATAGAGAGAAACAGCAGCCGCGTGAGTCTGCTGCCTGGGGAAGAAAATTGCTGAAATAGAAGAAAAATAAAACAGAAAACAAAACAAGGTAGCCTTGTCTTTATTTTTTGCTTTCTCATCCTGGATGCGGATGGATGCAAAGAACCAAAGAAAACTAATTGGAAATGTTTGAAAAGTTTGAGTTTTAACAAAATAAATGGTAAAGTAAATAGTATTAGGGTTGACTTTTTAGCGTAAAAATGTAGCTTTTCGTTAAAGTTCCCAAGAAAAAAAGATTGCATCCAACATTTTACATTTATTTAAAAAATCTCATTCTACACTTCTCACAAGTGTATTTTTCTTTCCTAGTATAGAAAATTTGAAGTGTAAAATGAGATTTTTAGAATGCTAATAATAATTCTCTTATTTAATTATTAATTATTAATTTTATGTTGAAACAAAAATGGAAATAAAATGATGGTAAATTAGAATATTCTTTCCATTTCTCATCCTTAGGCGGCCCATATTCCATGCTCTGAAATTGGGCTTACAGACTGAAGACTAAGTGGGCTTCATGACATGCAGTCCAATTTCTTTACCGCCAATGACCAGAATCGTCCCACTGCAAGGCGCAAGACCAAAATACAATGACTCACTCCTACTTATCAGCGCATTTCGCAATTGCCTGCGGATCTGGACAATTCTATTAATCTAACGTGTTACGTGACATGTCAAATTTTAAATTTCGACACCTACCACTAGATTAATTTCAACTAAACACTCATAAATCTGTAAAAATAAAATAAATGAAATGCTGCAAATGTAGAGACTCGACATTCTTCACACTAGGAGGTTAATATAATTTTTTAAATTAAACCAGTAAAATTAGAATATTTTTTTTTCCTTTTGTCACATTCCATACCTTTATCATATATTCATGAGATAGGACCATACGGTTCAATTCAAGACAATGGCGACAACCGCAACACTTAAATTCGACTGCTCTTCCCTCCCACTTCTAGGTTCGATTCTCTGTAATGGCAAATTTGAATCACTTTGGCTTTTTCCAACAGGTTTTTTTGCTTCATTTTCTGTTGTTCTCCAACAGACCAACACCTTTCCATCTTGGACGGTTAATTTATTCTCAAGAATGAACCTGTTTTGTTCTATCTTTCTGTTATACTCTTATATGTCATTACACATTTCAAAATAAACATAATATTTCTCCTCAAAAACTTCAATTTTCTGCCATAAAACCTATTGTCTATTGCATAAAACAAGAAATCTAAGCAGAAATGTCATGACTTATATAAACAAATTAACATAATTCATTATGATGTCATATAAATTAGGTTACTAATTTGTTTATGTATTTCTTTGTTGATGGTTTCTACTTTCGCCAATTTTCCACCTTGCCAAGTAGGTTTTTTGTGAAGACTCACTATGATCAATTTCCTTTTTACAATTTTTGTTTTATGTTAATTTCTATTAATTTATGTAATTAAAATGTCATGTCTTATTGAAAAAATTGTCAGTGTTGATGACGCGCAACATTGCGTGGGCAACACTCAAATTCATTGCAAATAAAAAAGTCTTGGTGGTCTTCCCTCCCCACCTAATAAATTGGGAGTGCCGCAGCCCGTGATCGGGTCATGTGGTGGCACGTATTGCCACCCCAGTCAAGTAATAATCCGGTGGGCCCTCTGGGGGTTATAAACTGCATTGGGTTAATACCTATAGCGACCGGTCAGTCACGGCCTATCGTGGACATAACCAATACCTTACGAAGAAGAAGAAGAGTAAGGGGAAACCAGCGATGAATGAATGGTAGGCAAGGCAAGCAGTCCTCCTAGTAAGCCTGCTTGCTAACTGCTGTTCAAGTATTGGAGGTGGCGAGTAGCGCATGCATTTCTTGTTAACGACTATATAAAGTCCAGTCCCATCCAAACGCATGCATTGTGAGTTGTAATGGCACCGCCGCCGCCCACCAAAATCGAGCCACAAACAACTAATGGTCAGCCCCATCTCGCCGACGCCTACGACCGTCACGTGGTAGCCGCAGCCTTCCCTTTTGCCACCCATGCAAGTCCCATGCTTGACATCGTTCGCCGCCTAGCTGCCGCCCTTCCAAACACTCTCTTCTCGTTCTTCAGCACTTCGAAATCCAACAGCTCTCTCTTTTCCAACAACAGCAATAATAACATGCCGCCTAACATAAGGGTGTACGATGTGGCTGACGGGGTGCCCGAGGGGTATGTTTTTGTTGGTAAGCCCCAGGAGGACATAGAGCTCTTCATGAAAGCGGCACCGGAAAACTTACGGAGGAGCTTAGACGCCTCCGTGGCGGACACCGGGAAGCATATCAGCTGCTTGATCACCGACGCCTTCCTTTGGTTTGGAGTCCACTTGGCTGACGATTTGGGAGCGCTTTGGGTCCCTTTCTGGCTCTCCGGGCTTAACTCCCTCTCTGTTCACGTGCATACCGATCTCATCCGGGACACTATCGGAACTCAAGGTGCGTACGTTTATACTTATCCTGTCTTTAAAGGTGAAACTTTAAAAATATAATTAATAAATGAGATGATTAAATGTAGTAGGGACTAAAATTAGATTTTTAATCGTACAAGGTTATAATCTAAAACTCATCTGTTTTAAGGATTAAAATGAAATTTTCTGTACTTCTATTAGAAAAAGTAAGAAATTTAATTTTATGTTCTAAGCATTAAAGTTTGGTCATGCAGGTATTACAGGCCGTGAAAACGAGCTCATCGTCGACAAAAATGTGAACATCCAAGGACTGTCCAAGGTGCGGATCAAAGACTTACAAGAAGGAGTCATTTTCGGAAACTTGGACTCGGTATTTTCCCGCATGCTACTTCAAATGGGTCGGCTCCTCCCCCGCGCCACCGCAGTTTTTATGAACTGCTTCGAAGAACTCGACCTCCCCGTAACAAACGACCTAAAGTTCAAATTCAACAAACTCCTCAACGTAGGACCTTCCAACGTAGCATCCCGGCTGCCACCGCTGCCGCCATCAGACGCTTTGATCTTGTCGTGGCTTGACAAGCAAGACGCTCCATCCTCCGTCGTGTACGTCAGTTTCGGGTCGGTGGCGACCCCGCCGGAGAAGGAGCTGCTAGCAATAGCGGAGGCCCTGGAAGCCACAGGGGCTCCCTTCTTGTGGTCGCTCAAGGACAACTTCAAGACACCGTTGCTGAACGAGTTCTTGACAAAAATATTGTCAAAGGTGAACGGGATGGTGGTGCCGTGGGCTCCTCAGCCGCATGTCCTGGCCCACGCTTCGGTCGGAGCTTTCGTGTCACATTGCGGCTGGAACTCGCTGCTGGAGACTATAGCCGGAGGGGTGCCCATGATTTGTAGGCCATTTTTTGGAGACCACAGGCTTAATGCAAGGATGGTGGAGGACGAGTTGGAGATAGGGGTAAATGTGGAGGGAGGAGTTTTTACCACGGAGGGGCTGGTAAAAAGTTTGGAAGTGGTTTTGTTGGCAGAAAGTGGGAGGAAATTCAGAGACAATATAAAGAAGGTCAAACAACTCGCAGTAGAGGCGGTTGGACCACAAGGGAGCTCCACTCGGAACTTCAAATCGTTGTTGGATGTTATATCAGGATCCAATAAAGCGTAGTGCGAGGGCAGTAAATGCAGCACCATAAATAACAACCTTATAATACCTGTATCTTGCTCAATGATTATGCACCATCTACGGGCGGACATATTTATTTATTTGGAATGATCTCTCGCGGATCAATGTTACTCTTCTCTGCGTCATTGTCATTTACTAAAACCTTGATCTTATTATTGTTCTGCTTTCTCGGTCTGAAAAGTGCATTGTTGGAATTGAATTGGAACGACAAGTAGCTTTAGATTATGGAGTTATTGCTAGAGCCGAACATGAGGGAAAGGTCATTTATACCGATACTGAGAAGGTCAATTCCTACAGTTAGTAAAGCAACCAAGCAGAAAAGAGACATCACATACATAACTGATGAACCCAACAAAGACTTGGGAGAGGATTTCTAAATGAAATAGAAACATATATTAAGCACAATCAAATTACAGAATTCACACAACTCTTGACAGGAAACAAAAAAATCTGCACCCTAAACCTCATGAAATCAACGGGACAACCACGTTCTATTGAGAACCGAAACAAAACAAATATAATATGAGGTACTTGTGCGCAACCAAGCGTGGGTAGTATATATTACACCTATGACAAATAACATAAATGTTACCCCGCCTGGCGAGTTCAAACTACACATGATTAATTTTGATCCAGCAAAACACTCCTCATTATCTCCCTCCCTAAATCAGCACCAAAAATACTCTACAGCCATCCCAATAGACTTAAAAGGCAACAGAGTGCAAACACCACTCTACGGGCGCCTTCGTGATCTAAACTAATTTTGAACTAAGAAACAAAATGGAAACTAATTAGGGGAAAAAAAATGCCGTACTTGCATTTGAAAGATTCCGAGGATTGAATCCATTTGCATCTCCATCTATTGTCCATGAAATTAGCTTCATCATTAAAATCAGCCGCCTAGGAATCAACCATTTCGTCCTGTATCTCATTGGGGGCAATAAGCCCAGGAATAGAAAGCATTCGTTGCCGGTCTCTCTCTCTCTGAGCAGCAGCCTCCTCTGCATAAAGATCTTTGTTGTCCTGCACAATCACAACATACCGTTTAACATCCATATTAGCCTCATCCCAGCAAAAGACTACGAGAATGGAAGATGCAACATTTAACATCAACATTAAAAACTAGTCAACGTAGATGAATATCTAATCTTCCTTGACTGAATGGGAAACTAATAATAAAATGCACATCTCTGTTAATTTGGGAGTCCAAACAACTGATGCTTCTGGTATCCTACCTGTGCTGAAAATTCTTTGGATTGCACTAGGAAGTCTCGGATGTGATTTTTAAAAGTGGGTATGTCAGCCGTTGATTCAAATAGTCCATTCACAAATTGAGCAACCTGTAAAAAAACCTTCAGGTAAGTGATATACCTAGAAAAAAAGAGACATAAACATAATAGTATTCATAGTTATATACCTCCGCCCCAGTCATATTCGGGAATGAAGTACTCAAAAGCTTTATTGTATATTCACGAACAAACATTCCATTATTAGGATATTGATAAGGAACAGCTGCAACATCCCATAAAGGCTCCTTCAACAGATTACTTCCCACCTGTAAACAGTAAATATGTAACTTTTAATTTATGTAAGCTTATGAATCAAGGAAAGAACTTGAAGGTATGACAAGATACATTACCAGGCTAAACAAATGTTGGAGAACCAAGACATGCAACTTGAACCCAGGCTTATGAAATGTATCAGTCAAGACAGCAAATATTTCTTGCTCAATTGTCAGAAAGTATGTACGGTAAAACTGATTGCAGAACTCTGAATTCTGTCAAATCAACCAAGACAGTGTGAGCTTAAATGGCATTACAACATGGCTAATGAAAAAATGCACGATATCACACCTGAAAGTTTCTCAGCATTTCCAACAACAGGTTCAGCCCAGTTTCAGCAATATTTCTTTCAGTGTGCCGAAACGCCCATATAATTGAATCCATGACAAGCTTCAGTTGCTGAAGTATACAAAAAATTTAATTATAACAGAAGCCAATCCTTCATAACCAGCTGACATAGACAGTAATGGCAGACAGACAAGTGCACATACCGGACTCGATAATCGAATCAATGCAGCAAAGCAGTGTGCAGCAATGGCACGAAGCAAAGAAAAGAACTTCAATCGATGCTCTGGGTAATCTTCAAAATTTTTGGTGATCATCTGCAAGGGCACAGAATAAAGATATGTAAGAAAACAACTAAGGTACAAATCGAATTTTCAAAATTTTAGCTGTCACTCCAGAGGTTCTTTGGCATCAGACCTCAGAGGATGCAACATAGACATAACACCAACACCAAGATGCTAAAATCCCTCTTCAGCAATGCATTATGGAGAAGGGGATGCCGAAAAAGGACTTGGTAAGAATACTAACATGTTTAGCCAAATCATATTTAATGAATTTAAGATTTAGCCATCACTCCAAACGCTATTTGGTATCAGAGGATATGCAAATAAACATATCACCAACAGATCTATCCTCTTCACCAATGCTTATGGAGAAAGGGATATCGAAAAAGAACTTGGATATATAGTAAAATGTTCAGCCAGAAATGTAGTGCGACTGTTATGGAAGTAGAAACCAAATTAACTGATTTATGCTACTTGATGATCACATCAACTCCAAAAAATGAACACATAATTTGATACGCTACTTCTAAAATTTTATACAGGATGGCACATGACCAGACTTTCAAATGTTTTGGCAAAAATACATACATACATTCATACAACATGTATATAGGGAGTAGACGCGTGTGGCATCTAAATGTGTGGCAGTATTATTGATATTGCTTCGAATATTAATAAAAAAATCACAATTGTTCAGGACCATTGCTGAATGGGCCACATTCTTACCTCCAATGTGCACTGGAAAACAGCTTCAAATATTCTTGGCACATCATCTATCATTGCACCCTTGTACCTAAAGGCAAGGGGTACAAATATAAGGCACTGGAAGACACTAAAGAAAACAAATAGCAAATTCTTTAGCCAGAAGAAAAATGCAGGCAGCAGCTTACTGGTCCTTTTAGTTGGCTGTGGTTTTTAGCAAGATACTATCATATCTAGTTGTAATCAAAGCAAAAAAGACAAGATAATGAAAGAAAGATAACATACTTATTTATGATAGTGGCAAAAAGTGACAAAACCTCCGACTCTCTAGCATCAGGCAAATTCCTGGCATAGTCACCTAGGACCGGATCCAACATGGGAGGCACAATTTGTTTTCCTATGTGTGGTTGGTCTTCTGCCTTGTCCAAGAATGTCTCAATCAACTTGAGAGTCTCCCTCTTCACCGACCTGTTGGAGGACTAAATCAAAACATGGTATTTGAGGTTTAATTGTTAAACTGAAAAGAAATTTGTACAAAAGGTCCCACCGAAGAAGTTTCACATAGGATGTTTTGGAAGCATAGGGACCCCCTTCTGCAATGTTACTAGATACAAGCTCACTGTACATCCTGTACAAAATAAATAGTGCCATGCATAACTATATTAGTTAAAAAGAAACCAAATTAAACATCCGAAAATCTTTCGACGCCTGAAAACATTGGTCATACCTGTACACATTAAGCATGTCCAGAAATATCATTGAGATCTGAGACAGGAAAAACGTTCCAAGGGAGCTCGCAACGCTAGTATTTGTCTGCAAATCAACAACAGAATCACACCCGGTACTCACAATCCTTTCAAAAGCAAAACAACAGACTAAAATATAATCAAAAGTGGCTACAGCCACAAGAACAATCACATTTTATATTGATATGACACAAAAGGATGAACAATCCTTGCAAAATAGAAGTAAAGGATTCACCAAGTACGTAAAGGAAAGAATAAAAGGTCGACATATATAAGGGGCCACTTTGGATGCAGTAAAGTTCACAGAAAGATGCTGCTACAAAAACAACAGCTCACCTAACAGAAACTGCACAATCTAACATAAACAAGTTCAACTGACAACAGAACAGTAAGAAAAAGAACAGAGAAAACAAGATACAATAAAGCTACATCAATAATATCTCCATGATCCATGATATGGTCGACTACAGAATACCTAAGTAACAAAATTTGAAAATCATACCTGTAATATATTAAGCACAGTCCGAATTACCTCCTGATCCTTCAGGAAATCAACACTTAGGCGTGCTTGCCCTATAATCTCGGCCCATTTCTGGTGAACAAGCTAATATAATAAGCAACAAGCTATTTTGAGCACTTGCAAGTAGTCATGCACATTGCACATATATCGAAATATACCTGATTTGGGAGACCCATCAATCTCTGTAGATATTCTTCTCTCTTCTTGGGATCAGACTCTGCTTGAATCATATGACCAACCTAAGATAACCAAAAGGCAATTGTTTATAACAAATTTTTATGTATAAGACCAACTCAAATGGTTGGGTTAAAACTCAAAATTTAGGTTTTAAACTTGCCCAAAGCTTCTCCAATCATTGGGCTAAAAAGGTTTTGGGTTGAAACTTATTTTTGGGCCAAATTGAGCCCAGAAAATGAACCAAGGTTAGTGGCTGGACTCAGCGCTGGGACCCAGATGTTGTCGGCTTGCGGAAAGACCAACTCCTATTTTTTTTTATGGGACAGCCCACGTGGTTGGACCATTGGTTCAATTTAAAAAAAATAAAAAATTCAAATCTATAAATACATTAAATCTAACTGTTGAAATCGAATATGAGCAAATCTATCGGTAAAAAGAAGATCAACCAACCCAAATTTTGGCTAAAACAATTAAAAGAAATTATTTAAATCAAAATTCATCCAAAGACTCTATAAGTATATGTATTTGTTCAAACATCGACACAAAATTCACTTTCGTCATACAGTTCTTCCTTTTTTTCTTTCTACCCACCTATGTGTTTGTGTTTAAGAATGGACTAGGTTGTGGTTTTCCATGTTCTTTCATGTGGTGCATATGTGTAAGAATGAGGTAGGTTTAGTGTTTTTTCATTATTTATCGGAATTTAAATATTTTAAGGTTAAAATGTTCAAAAAAACAAATTAGGAAAATCTACATATATTTTATTTTTAAAAAAGTTACCAAAAATAAATTAGCCTAAAATCATTCTTTAATAATTTCAGGCTAAAATTTTAAGACAAAACCACTGAAGGAGAAAAACTATTTTGGATTAGAACCTAAATTGTCTGGG